ATCATCTTTCTACCAACTTGACAATTTTTTGGTTAAATCTCACTTTATTTCCATTTTATTTGTATTCATTTCTGGCCCTCAAAATCCCAGATGCACATTTATATCTCCAAGCAATCCCACTATTAATCTACTACGTAGATTAAGTACTAAGCATTGAAATAGTCACTGAAAGCATCACAGGCACTAATACATGAGTATTTTTACTGAAGTTATATTTGTCCATAAAGAGAACACACACAGAATATAAATAAATATTTGTTTCTGTTTCCAGAAGAGCTAGAGCATGAGGAATTTCAGCACCAGAAACCAGCATCTTTTACACGTTGTTAACTATGAGGGAATTGTCAACATTGAACCAGTCACTGTTTTGCAGACTTGAGTAGATGACATATTTTTGTTAATCTTTGGGTTCTAATTCTTAAAAACTATTTGAGAAGGTGACGGTAGGATTTGTTCATTATAATCTGTATTAGTTATCTATTGCATAGCAAATTGACTCAAAATTAGTGGCTGAACATAGTAATACTCGTAATTTATTATTTCTTGCTTTTCTGTAAGAGATACTGTTTGCTATTCAACAAGAGTCCAGTAACTCAGGAGCAGCTTGACTGGGCAGATCTGGCTTAGAGTTTCTTCTGAGGCTGGAGTTGCTTGTTTCCTGGGGCCACAATCACCCGAAGACTTCAGTAGGATTGGAGGTTACTTAAAGACAGCTTCCTAACTTGGCTGGCAAGTCACTGCTGCTGTTTGGTGGCAGGGCTTAGTTCCTCTCCACATGGGTGCCTCTCCATCAGACGACTGGAGGATTGTCATGACATGGGGGCCGCTTTTCTAGAGCAAGTGATCTAACGACCAAGGTACAGCCTCTAATGCCTTTTATTATTTGTCCTTGGAAGTCACATAACACTGTCAGTCTGCAATCTTCTATTTGCCACACAGATCAGCACTGACTCAGTGTGGAAGGAGACTACACAAGGCCATAAACACTAGGAAGTATTTAAAGTGACATAATTACAATGTGAAGATTTATTGGTCATCCAGGAAGTTGATTGCCAGAGTTCACCCTCTAGCCCATGAAGATTCATGTTTCTTCCGCATGCAAAGTACATTCACCTCTTCCAAAAGCCCTCCAAAGTTTTATTTCATTAGGGCATCTGCTCAAAATCCAGGACCTCATCATCAAAGTCAAGTCGGATTGAAATGAAGCTTCTTGGGAGTTTCAGGAAGAAAACAAAGCCATTTGGGTACAGTGACTCAAGCACAGCTCCTCGAATCATCTTCTCAATCTGAAGGCCTGTGAACAAGTTTTATGCCACCCCTACACCCAATGCACGATGGTAGGATATGCATAGAGAAACCAATTCAGAATCTGTGGCTAAAAAGAGGGGAAATAAGAGGCACAAAGAAATCACTGATCCTTAGAAGTTCTGATATCCAGTGAGGCACACGTTGGTGATTCCTTAATTAGGACTCAGTCTTTCTATCTCCTGAAAATGATTCTCCATGGCTCTTGGCTCCACCCTCCATGTTCTCGTTCTGCCACTCTGAGTCATTCTTCCTTTTTTGTAAAAAAGTAGTCTGTCTTTGCAGCTGCATAATTTCCTGTCTATGGAAATTTGGGGAAATAAAGGTCTTTTTCTATTTTGTACCATCTTTGTGTCTTTCAGTACAATCTGGCCTGGCAGTGTTACCTCCAATACAGTTCTCTTACAAATGGATGGAGTTTTTTTTATGAATTTTATTCAGGTTTACTCCATTAAATAATAAACACATCCACAGTCTCATAAAGATACACTTTCCTTCTCCTCCTTAAGCTTCTGCTGAACTACAGAGGGAAAATGCACTTAAGATTATTAGATCCCCTTTTCTTTACCCTGAAGGATCTGTAAGACACACCAACAAGTTGCTAGAGGGTCTTTTGTCTCACTGAATGGTTCTCTGATGCACCACCTAATATCTTCCTCAGGTCTTATCAAGGATTTTGTAAGGTACAACTCCTCATCGTCTTTAGATCATTTTATTTTTCTGGTATTTTATATTTTCCTGGAGGTGATTTCTTAATTTTTGCATTGTTTCCTATCTGGAGAGATGAAAATTAAAAGAACATTTTAATTTTAACTTACATTTTCAGATCCATCAAGCCCTGGCTTCTTCATATTTAACAGTACTTTTTTTTAGCTTTCCTCCCTTGTTTTTTACTTTTACCATAAACAGAAAAAAAAGATTTTAGAAAGCACCTTCAGTATTCTGCCTGCAAATGTCTTCAGCTAGATTATACGACTCAGTAAGCACATCTTTTCCTTTTCCCTATTATCTCTGGCAACAATGTTGCTAAACTTTCCAACACAATATATCAGGATCCAATTTTCTCTCATTACGAATAGCATTTTTCTTTTCTTCCCCTCAGCCATGACTAAGAGCCTCCTTAAGAGTCACCAGGTTTCTGGTCAGTGGTCCTCATAAGGCCTGTCTGACTAACTTGTACCTCCCAGTCCCTAAGTCACTGCTACAGTTTTAGATTTTTGTTACAGTTCTCTCCCAGTACCAATTTCTTTATTTATCTATTGTTGCATAGTAAATCACCCCCTAAATGATTTTTTAAACTATGATAATCATGTATTACCTCTCATGGGCCTCTCCTCTAGTCTTCTTATGACACAGGAGCTGACATTCCACAAGATGAACAATCTCAGAGATCAAGCTACAAACTAGCCTTAGAAGTCACTCACTGCAACCACCTGTGCAGTTTTCTGTCATCCACAGAGGTCGGCACTGATTCAATGTGGAAAGGAACTACAAAAGGTTATGAATACCAGGAAGCAACGATTAATGGGGGTCCCTCTTGGAAACTTTAAAGATATTGCAATGAGAAATTTAAAAAAAACCCTAAATTTTAATGGATATGTAGTATTTTGTCCTATAATTATCTTCATCTAGCATATACCCCATGTAGGAAAATGAAGGGACTTGACAGTTTTAAACGTCAAAATTATCAAGACCAAACAGAACATTGTTGTAAGTGACTGATGAAGTCTTCTTTTATGAACTTAATTATACCCAATTTGTAGTGATCAGTGTTTATGCAGCTGCTTTGCTCCAGAGAAGTTGTTATACTCACAAATAGATCTGCTCGTTTTGAAATCATTCAAAGCTGGTGTGGATATTTAGAGACTCTCAAGTATTCAAAAAAAAAAAAAAAAAACCAAATGACAGTCTTGTTAAGAGTGGTCAATAAAGTTACAGCTGGGTGTTTTTTCTCCGCTAAATTTAGACATTAAACCCCATTCAATTTTATCTTGATTAAACAATTGAAAATCATATGTGTCAAAAAGGACAAAAAAAAAAAAAAAAAAAACCAAATGACAGTCTTGTTAAGAGTGGTCAATAAAGTTACAGCTGGGTGTTTTTTCTCCGCTAAATTTAGACATTAAACCCCATTCAATTTTATCTTGATTAAACAATTGAAAATCATATGTGTCATATGTGTGAATACAACTAGTCTAAATAAACCACTTATCTAAGATCAGCATTTTTCTGAAGGGATTAAGTCAATGCAAATTTTAGAAAATGTGGCTTAGAAAAATACACACACAAACACACATACAGGGGCCATATATTTATATTGAAATAGAGCATTATATAGATTTTTTTAAGTCAAAAACTTAATTTATGTATAATCCTATTTTTATATAGTACTGTGTTGATGTAAAATAATATACAGCTCTATGATTAACCCTTAAAGGAGATTCAATTAGACGCTATTGTAACCCAATAATGAAACCCATTAACAAAAGGAGAAAGGAGATTTCTACTATACTAAGCTACTATTATTATTCAAAGAAGAGGACATTTGCAAAAATCATTTAATGGCAAATTTGTTTTTATTGAAAATTCACTTTTATTCATTTAATGGCATATCTTGGTTCTAACTCATTCTGTATGAATTGTTTTTGCTACAGACATAATATTAGATGAAATGAATTTGTGGATAATGTCAGATTTGTTAACAGACAATATAAACTTGCCCAGTAGGCAAATTTAATGTGGGAACAATATGAAAAGCAGAAGCTTTGGGGAGTTTCTGGAGATACAGGGATCAAAAAGTGTTTTTCCTTTACAGCCTACAAATTTTCCATGCATGATAAGGCTTATGCATTTTTGTATTGAAAAGGTATAATAATAATTTATTGACAGTGCTATTTCAGAGTTGTTTAACAGTAAAACTCTTGTCTGATTTCAAGCTTATCATATGTATATTCTATTCCCTGATGGAATCAACAAGATTTACTGTGGGTTTTTTGTCAAGTTATTCACTCTCTTTTAATTTTAGTTCAATTTGTTATTTGTACTGCTATACCATATTAGGTAGCTTGTGTAAGATGCATATTCAAAGTAGGGTGGCTGATCTTTATGCCTAAATTTATTTCTTTATAGTGTTCATTTGGATTTTATAATTGAGAGATCATTTGTTATGCAAATAACCCTTGGGATTGAGTTAGACATTGATCCATAAAAGAAATCTACTTTAATTGGTAATAGTTAGTTTAGCTTCGTGCTGTCTGAATAAGAGGTCTCTAGGAAGTTAAGAAAATAGACATAAATATTGAAGACATAAGAAAAACTTGGATAGTTGGGAAAGATCTAAAGTCCTGATCTCAGGGGCCAGACTCAGTTGAGGAGGTATGAGAATGATCCTTTAACAACAGAGGGACAGAGAGAGGTGACAGAGTGAAAAAGATGTCAAAAGAGAATTTGAGTGATGGTGGATCCCAGAGGCAAGCATTCACCTGATAATCCATTACAGTTCAACCCTGATGTTTTCTCCTGAAATAATCTTGCTTTCTCAAAAGACTTCCTTCTACGTCGAACACGACATCAGCCAAGATCAAAGAAATATAGCAGTTGGGTACGATGGCTGTGACCAGGCCAAATGCCCGCAAGAGTTTTAGTGAAGCATGCTGTACACTGAATTTAACATTTCCCCTTTTTCTGCTTCACAGGCTTTCTGAACCAGATGAACAACTCAAGTCACTCAGTTCTTCAGCCTTCCTTCCAAGGGTGCATGCAGCTCATTCAGGTGGATGATCAGCTTGTAAATTTATATGAAGTGGCACAAAGGAAGCCAGGAAGTTTTGCCAATGTCAGCATTGACATGTGCGCCATCATAGACAGGTAAGTGGTCTTTTCATCCTGCCTCAAGTGGTCTAGACTTTCAAAATTCATGTTTCTGATGTAAGACCAGTGGCACACCCAAAATAACATTTAAAAAAAAGCAAAAAATGGGTTAGTTGGGAGTTGTCACTTGCAGTGCCTATTGTAGTATACTTGGGATGTCAGCAGTGATGACATTTAGATGAGGACATGGATGTATGGGATTGAACAGTCTGTGGTTTCACACCCTTCTGCCAGGCTCCCCAGTGAATGGGAGCATTATGCAAAGAAGTCTGTAAGCCAGGGCTGTGCCATACAGGAACTTTGACAGCTGATTTTCAGTTTTGCTATCTATGCACACAAGCAGAACTGTCCCTTCTTTCCCTACCTTGGTCACGACTCGGCCTCACTGTACTTTCCCTTCCAAAGACCGCTTCTGAAGGGAAAAAAAAAAAATTACAAAATATTGGTGGACAATATGGTGATTTACTGAAGCAAAATATTTAAAGCAATTGAGTCTGCTTACAAAATACACATATCAAAATATTACAACATCTAATCTATTAGCTTTTGCAAATCCAGGGAGGAGCTTTTCAAAAAACTTTGATTTCTCACACAGCAAAAAGATGCAACTTTCATATAAAATGTTATGATATTATTGCATACACTACTTTAACATACCACAAAAAAGCGTCTTCCATTTTAATACTTTAAAATTTTTATTTTGAGATATTTTATCTGTAGACAAACTACATCTATGAGTTGAAGTTAATGTAGTGAATTTAGATGGCTTTCTAAGCTACATTCAAATATTTTGTAGAAGGACTATATTAGGCTGAAAAATAATTTCATTAATTTTGTATTTTCAATGGTAAAACTTTTCTAAAATCTTTTTAAATTTTGACATAAGGTATTACTCCTACCTCACTCTTCCCCCAGCAAAGCACAGACCTTAAGTTTCTAACAAAATTACTTAAGAGGAGATCCTTGAGAAGTCACTCAAAAACATATAACAAATCTTACAAATATATAAAGTAATCTACTGTGAAGTAAGTCTCTTCCATAAAATCTTGATAAAATTACATTCTTGTAAATGGTAAACTAATTTATGTAAGCTGTCAAACATATGTTTTCTAAAGCTTTAATATTTATGTAAGAAGACTTGATAACATAGCATAATGTTTATTTCTATTACATGTATGCAAATACTGGTCCTGATAGCCTAAACAGTTTATGTTTAAACAGAATAGTGAACAATTTTAATAGAAATATACTCCTAATTTTTGAGCCATTAATAATATGTTAGCTATTATTTCTGCATAAAGCATGTGGTAGCAATAATAAAAAAGCTGAGAAGTAAATGTTTTAAAAATCATTTGTTCTGATATTAGATATTTATCTGCATATTTTAATAATTGGTTTTATACCAAAAATGTTTCTTATTTAGTAGTAGTTATACAATGTATTGGTATATTGATATATTTTAGTACCTAGTCTTTTTCGCATGTCAGTAACTTCAGTGATACACCAATTTATGTCAATAATACTTAAGTTACCTCATTCAGCTTTGTAAACAGCCTAGATTTTATACTGCTTTTTCACTTCAAACAGCATGTCTCCTGGGTATTATACTTAAATTGTTTGCTACCAAAGAAGCATGGGTGACATGTTGAGATTTTGATGTTTTCCTCTAATGGAGACAGTAAGACTTAAATTGGCCCCAAAAGAGTGAATGAGACTTTGGTAAATGAAGAGAATGAAAGACGAAACTCATGGTGAGACTGACATGAGGGAAGATGTAGAACAAAAATTTCAATTTTTGGCAGATACAGGCATATACAAAATTTTTCTTGCAAAAATGGGTCAGTACCAATGTTCGTGTGGCCAGGATTCCTGCAGTCCTGGCTCCTCAGAGAACAAGGTACACTCCTTTCTAATAGTCACCTCTGACACTTCTCCACAAATTTCCTAAAGCCATTATGGGATTTATTTTCTGCTTGTAGTATTTTTGGACGACAACGACTTTTGTATGTTAATTAGCAATGTGTGTAATGGCAAATTTATTTATTCACCTAAAATGTCCTCAGTTCAAAATCTTAAACTGTGAAGTGTTGCATTTTGGTATAATTAATACAGGATTATAATCCTTTTATTCAAATACTCAAGAGCTCAGGGTTGGTGTCACCCCTAATCTGTGTCTTTCCAGGTGAGCGTACCAATGGTTTCAGTCTGTCATCCAGTTGCAGTGACCATCCAGACAGACCTTTAACAGCACATCCCCAGCACACGTCTGTTTTGACTTATTTCTCCTTCATAACTGAAACGTTCCAATAGCCCATTATCTACCACTTTATTTTCAAATTACCCAAATTCTTCCTAAGGAAGCCTAAAATGTAAGATTCTTACTTTTCATCTTTCAAATTTCAGCTTGATTGATTTGAGAGTTATTTTGGAAGGGAAAAAAAAGGAATAGTGAGAACATAAGAAAAAACAAAAATAAAAGAGCTACCATGGGCCTAGTTATAAATTGTTTAGAGATAATAAGAGCAGCTGCCGTAATGTGATGAGTGGAACTTAGAGAAATAGTTGGGGGAAGATGATTCTAAAGCAGTTCTTCCATGTGTCATGCTGGAATACCTTATGATCTGAACTTATTTTTCTTTCTTTGTATGTGGATTTGCGTGTGGCTTGTTTTGTTTACTTGTTTGTTTTCAGACCACAGCATTAAATCAAGAAAAGGGCAAGCAGGCCAAGCTACAGAATTGTGCATCCGATATTTATTTTCTGAGTGCATGCTAGATGTCAGGCACTGTTCTAGGCACTTGGGATAAATCATTGAATAAAACAGAGTACTTGCACATTTGGTGCTCACATTCTGGGAGAGGAGGAGAAAGGACAGATGATAAACCACAATCATTATAAGTAAATAGTATAGTAAGCTAGAAGGAGTAAGTGTTATGGAAAAAAAGAAAAAATTTGCCGCAACGGCCAGTGGTCTCAAGTACTTGTGAACCCATGCAGAATTGTTTGATTTGTTTTCCTGTGGCCTTAGCCAGGGTGTATGACAAGGAAGAAGCTGGTGTTAAAATATTTTGAACTTAAGCATGTGGTGATGATGCTTGGTTTGGGCATAATTTACTGATTTGTGAGTAACAGTGAAGTCTGTTTTGTAAGTTGTGGTTTCCATTTCAATCCTGAAACCATCCTTTACAGCTTAGTTACCACAGAGATGTTTTCTGCTTTATCATAGGCAGGAGTAGCGATATGACACAGTCCTGGTGACTCGGAGGTAAGCAGAAGTCAGCTGTGGTGTTCCTGGGACAGTTTTTGTTATGTCACCTCTCCCCCACAACTATCCTTTGTTAAATGCAGACACAATGCTTAGAACTGTATGGTCGAGAGAACCAAGGATCAAGTACCCACCTTCGCTCCTTTTTATGTGAAAAAAAAAAAAACCAGTTCTTGTTTATTTAAGTCACTTATGAGTCAAATTCTATTTTTCTTAAAGTCAAAAGCATCTGTCCTTCCCCCATCCTCCACTTCTAAAATCAGCCAGTACCATCTTCTTACCAAAACACAGAGGGACAAATTCCCAAGTGTGCAAATGGCTTTGAAAGAAAAGATGACAAATTTATTTTAAGATACGTTATGTTGCATTCCACTGATATCCTCTGAAGATTAAAATGTGGGGACTAAATCACTGTTTAGAGGTCGAAGCAAATTTATATTATTACGATCAGCACCTGCTTTTTAACATGCGTATAAAATCTAGCAAAAGTGGCTCATTAGAATTATAATCTTCTTTTCTCTTTCCTGTCCACCTCCCTTGTAAATATATTAAGAAACAAAACCATACACATTCTGGATAGCACAGGGAGAGGAAAAGGAAAAGTAAATGCCCCAACTTAAACACAGCCTACAAAATTACCCCTTGCAAAATTGTGAATAGACTGGATCCTATTCCTGAGTTAGTAATTAAGTCTCTATTATATTTTTGCATGGAAGTGCATAATCACAGACCCAGCTTTTTTTTTTTTAATTCAATGCTTTCTTTTCAAGAACATCTATCTAGTTTGATTTTTTTTTCTGTCAAAGAAAAGAATAAGTATATGAATTTTGATAAGAGCATTTAAATGAGGATTGGGTAAATACAACGTGAGATATCTCAAAACTAAGTTAATGCTGTTGGAAAGATGAATGAAATCAGTCCTGAAGGAGGTCGTGAGTTTCTATAAAAGCAGGTTTAAATTTTACAGTTCTAACTTAGATAAAGAAAGCATGTAACATTCTTTATTTTCCAAAATTGATCTTCATTTGCTCATAAGCCCTCATTTTCAATAAGCAGCAGAAAAAAATAAACACTCGAATATATATTTTTAAGTACCCTAATAACTCCCCCTTTATATATACATATTCAGTCGATATGGGATTCAATTTTAGTTAAAGATCAAACTCCCTTCTGGGGTTGTCATCCCGTTTCAAAAGTCCTCCCAGACTCCCCAACGTAGCCCTTGGGTCCGGGCCAGCTTATGTGATGTCTCCATGTGCTCTACTGAGATTCCTTCTGGGCTCCCCTGAGGGTCCCTGGTCCGGTTGGTCTTCAGAGTTCACCCTCTGTCCCCACGGCTTACTGCTCTGGCCATTGTGCTTGCTGGGTTTGGAATATGACTTGGCTACAGCTGGGCTCAGGTTCTGGGATATGTGCAAGGTGACAACTGGTCTCCATTTGTCTGAGACTGTCTCAGTTTTAGTTCTAAGAGCCCTGCTTCTGAAGAAACCCCTCAGTTCTAGGTAAACCAGAATGGTTGGTGACTCTAGATCTGTATACTCCATGCCTTTTTCCTGACCTCTTTAGCCAGTCTACTAGCCACGTAAGCATTTTTATTGTCCCCATATGGACAGACAGTGATTTCTACATCTCTTGGAGACGACGTACAAGCTGAAGTTAATTATGCCATACATGTGGGAGGGGATGGGGCCAGGGCACAGCTCTCTTAGTTGCCCTGTCTGCACGCTGTGCCTTTATATCCGCTCTAGAGTGGCCACCTCAGGCTGTTGCAGGCCTTCCACAAATTAGATTTG